TCCCTTTGGCCAGTTTGAGTCAGTTGTTCCAACTGTGTCCACTCCCAGCCCCTTGTGCCCCTCCTCCAGCCTCTTGGAGGGAGGACGTGAGAAGCTGAAAAGTCCTTGAATTAGTAGAAACACTACTCAGCAACAACTCAAACATCAGTGTGTTATCAATCTTATTCTCTTACTAAATCCCAAACACAGCACTGGACCAGCTACCAGGAGGAAAATTAACTTTATCCCTGCCAAAACCGGGACAACGTTGCAGTTTGGTCAACTGTCCACTGAGATTTGCTTTACTGTAGATGAGGAATATAATCTATGATCAGAAATACCAATAATGTTAAGGCTATCTCAAAGGTTGTGGTTTTTTTTAAGAAGACTGGAACCATTCAGAGCAAATGAGTCTGGCAGGTCACTGTCTGTGCAGTGCCTGAATCCAAGTGCTGCACACAGAAGGTTTGGACACTCACCCAAGCAGCAGCCTAGTCAGCTGCAGCCCTCCTCACATCTGTGTTCCATGCTTCCAGGATTATGAGGTATTTTTCCACAAGAGTAAATGAATCACTTTATCAATTGTTTAGCTGTTTTCCCATCTTTTGTGCTTGAAATAGAAGGAAACTGTAGGCTTTCAGCAGCTGAGTTAATGTTTGAAAGATTTTAAATAGATTGTTTTGAAAAAAAAAATAAAAGGAAGCAAAAAGAGGTTTATGCTGCTGCTCCACTTTTTAATGAAGTTTATTTTAGCTTCATCTTAGGAGCATCTTGTGCACATTGCTTTTTAGGAAGAAAGTAGTTTATAAAAAACCAAACTGTAGCTGGCTTGAATGTAAGTAATTTCATAGACTTGTGGAACCTTGTTGATTTATTCTATTAGCTTTTCTTCTGTGGATAAGAGTTAGAGGGCTTACTGCTGGGGTGACTGATGTGAGTGAGCAAAGCATGAACTTCAGGAAGGGAGAAGGTGTGAGGGGCACGAGGAGGCCAGGGAGACCTAATCGCCAGCAGCTCTAGCTTTAGTTGCAGCCTCTCTAGCTGCAGGTCACCTACTAAAGAGCCAGCTTTGTATTGCTACTAGCATGGAGTCCTTTCACATGCTAACACAAAACAGAAGCAATTGCCATAAACAGACTTCGTGATTTTATTTTTTTCGGGCAAGCAGGACATGCCCTGGTCATGTGTGCTCACAGCCCAGAAACTAGCCCTGTCCTGGGCTCATCCCCACAGCATGGGCAGCAGGTGAGGGAGGAGATTCTGCCCCTCTGCTCCACTCAGGTGAGACCCACCTGCAATGCTGCCTCCAGCTCTGGGTCCCAGCATAGGAAGGACATGGAGCTGTTGGAGTGAGTCCAGAGGAGGCACCAAGATGATTAGAGGGACAGAGCAGCTCTGCTGCCAGGAAAGGCTGAAAGAGTTGAGGTTGTCCAGCCTGGAGAAGAGAAGCTTTGGGGTGACTTAACTGAGGCCTTTCAGTGCCTGAACAGAACTTACAAGAAAGATGGAGAGAGACTATTTCCAAGGGTCTGGAGTGACAGAAAAAGTGGGAACTGCTTCATACTGGCACAGAGCAGGGTTAGATTAGATAACTGGGAAGGAATTCTTGGCTGTGAGGGTGGTGAGACACTGACACAGGTTGCCCAGAGAAGCTGGGGCTGCCCCGACCCTGGCAGTATTCAAGGCCAAGTTGGATGTTACTTGGAGCAACCTGGGCTGGTGGAAGGTGTCCCCCCCTGCCCATGGCAGGGGTTGGATCAAGATGATCTTTAAGCCCTTTCCAACCCAAACCACTCTGTGATTTTATGAACTAGTGGATGAGAGAGGATAGTTTTCTTTAGCTCGAAAACATGTAGCCTTATTGCTTCGTCTCTATAGATATACATGCAGAGGATAAAACAAAAGATAGCAAATAATTTTTGTTTTAAATCCTCACAGTAAATTAGGCATGGATCATGGATCTGTGATTAGTATTTTGTTTCCAGCACTTCACACTTGAATAGCTGATAATAAGCAGCCTATGTATCAGCTTGGCTCCTCCACTATTGTTAAGCAGATTTATAAAGTGTTTACTGGTTTACATAACAGTATTGAGAAGTTTGGGAATAGTGGGGGTATTTGTTTACTTATTTTCATAGTTGAGATCATTATGTGATGTTAATGATGAATGATTATCAGTGAGTTTAATTTTCAAATGCATCCAAAAGTCTATTAACATAAGCAGTTTACTTGCAGGGTTTTTTTCACAGCAGGTTTAAAAATGCACAGCTGTCCAGGAATACCTTCCTCTTCCAGCTCTGGCTGGAGCATGTAGGCTGTGTTTGACATTCCCAGAGCCCAAGCCCCTCTAACTGCTGTACATGAGTAATCCCTATAGTATAGATCCCTATAGCAGTGTATTGTCCAGTGTAATAGCTATACTGGGGACTCTTTGACCCAAAGGACACTCTAGAGCAAACTACATGTGGAACAGCGGCAGCATTGATTAGCTGACTGCAATTATGAAGCAGACTGAGCTGGCCTTAAGATGTAGGATTTGGTTACATCAATAAATTGCTGTAGACAAAGCAACCAAAAGAGGTAACCTCAGAGCCTGCTTGCTGGGGGATTGCATTTACACCTGGCACAAGGATGGAAATCGAGAAGTGTTTACTGCACAGGACAGAATAACTCATTTTACATCTGTGGACCACAAGGATGGAAATCGAGAGGTGTTTACTGCACAGAACAGAATAACTCATTTTACATCTGTGGAATGAGGAGAGAATTTGATGGCTTGTGTTTAAAAAGATGTGCTGAGGTTTAATAAAGTGAAACGCTAGGGAAGCTTGGTAGGTAAATACTGCATGCTGGGGGCTTTGGTTTTATTTTTTCTATCTAAAACTCTGGAAAAAGAAGTGTCCTTTCCCTTAAGAATTAACTATTATCATTGAAAGCCACTCTAATAACTAGTGTTGAAAGGCTTTGCATATTTAAGCCACTTCCAAAGTAGGTGAAATCTCAGTTTTCAGGCTCTTTAAGTCGTATCTTATTTTTACCCCTTGCCAAAATGTAGATAAAAAATTAAAACCACAGACTTAATGCTCCACACTTCACACACACATACTGTGTCAAAATAAAAGCATTTTCCTGAGCAAAATTATAGAGATTGTTTTCTTTTTTGTTATCCATAATGTGACATCATGTAACAAAAGTATAAATTTAAATGAATACAACAAATGTCATTAATAAATATGCTTAGGAAAGCAGAGTATGTTCACATGTATATGTGTGACTTTTATGCAGTTCATTATGCTGGAGCCATTGTGGTGTTGTCATTGAGGTGATTTCGGTTTTCAATGACATAAAATTTAAAACTTACCTTTTTTGAGGAAATAAACCCAAATGTTTCACTCTTTATATATAACCCTCTGTCTGCAGGGGTTCATACACCCTGTTGGAGCTGTGTTTGTATGGAACTGTGCAAAGGGATGTGGACAGGAGGACACAACTGCTCAGGATGTAAGACATCCCCAAATGAGTGAGTTTGGTACTAGTGAGGTGTTTATGTGTTGCTGGAGTTACAGAACGTGGAAAAAGGTTCAAGCTTCTCCCTGTAATCACATTCTCTCTATTGCAAATGTGTAAGATCTTCTTGTTTCTCATAAAAAATCATTCTGTTTAAAGATGATGGTAGCATATATTTATACATCTGCCTGTATGTTTTATTAGTATCTTGCAGAAGAGTAAAGTGAATTACACTGAAAGCTGAAATAAACATTGTAGAGACCTTGTAAAAACTGGTTGTTCTGTAAAGATGCAAGGAGAATAGATTGGAAGCCCTAGGGATAAGTCAAAGTGGCCTTTATGGTGGATTGTGAGCTGCTGGAGCTAATAGACCTTAACTCAGGTTTCACTAATTATGCAATTTCTCCTTCAATACTAATTCAGACCTAGTGTTCTAAGAAGTATTAGAAAGGAAGTAACCAACCAATATAATCCTGGTAATTTAAATCACCTGGAAAGCATGAATAAATAGTTACATTAACTGTTATATTATCAGAAATATCTGAATATGTTTTTATTGGTTTGTGGCATTTATTATCACCTGCCCAAAGCCAGCAGACTTGGCAACCAATGCTGCTTCTCTACTTTGATGACTTGATCCTCAGAAGGATGTAGAAGTGGTGCTTGATGGGTCTAAATCCAAACGGAAGGTCTTTGGAGCTCTGTCGGCCACTGCTCCTGCCTAGAAAAACATAGTTGGTTGGCTCAGCATGAAAATCTGTTGATCATGAAAAGGCATGTGTAGAAATATTGCATTCTCAATATGTCTTGGTATCTCCCTTATATCTAGACCTATGGCTTAACAGCTTATATCTAAGCTCCAAAGAGGGATTAGATATAAATTAGGTATTTCTACAGCTACCTTGCATCTTGGGCTAAATCTATTTGAAAGGATCATGAGAGAATATGATTCTCTATCTTTCAAATTCCAGCCAGTGAGTGTCCAAAACTGCCAGTCAGGAGGTTCTACGAGGTGGCAGTTACCTGTAACAAAACTCCAAAGGTGCTCATTACTCAGTATTTCATAATGATTGACATAGTTTAATCTTATCTTGAAGTTTCCCAAGGGAGTCCTAGTTCTGTTTTGCTTAAAAAAAAGCACTACATTCTCAAAGAATCGTGGAATCATAGAATTTTAGGGGTTGGAATGGACCTTATAGATCACCTAGTCCCAACTTCCCTTGCCAAGGGCAGGGACACCTCCCCACTAGACCAGGTTGCTCAAGGCTTTATCCAACCTGGCTTTGAACACTGCCAGAGACTTATATAAAAGAACTGACAATCTTCTCCATCCTCCTCTCTTTCAGGAATTAAGCTGGGAAGCTGCAGAGCATTAAAGTGATGTGTTTAATGTGTGGTGGCATCCTATGTGCACAACAGTTTGTCTGAAACTCTTCAGTAGCCCCAAACGTTTTGACTTCCAAGGTGGAAGGGGTAGATTCTTGGATACTCCTGTGCCTACAGAATAACCAAAAATGAAGGAGGACAATTGTTTACATGCCGCTCTCATCTGCCTGGGCATGCTCTACTGCAGCCATGCCCTAGCTGCAGAGAAGCTGAACCACTCACGGCCATCGCTCCATGGGCACCATGAAAAAGGAAAGGAAGGACAAGTTCTGCATCGTTCCAAGCGAGGTTGGGTGTGGAACCAGTTCTTTGTGATAGAAGAGTACACAGGACCAGACCCTGTGCTAGTAGGAAGGGTAAGAATTTCTTTCTCAGTGATCGATTCATATTATTTTGTGAGTTGATTTTTCTTTCTTGCTGTTGCTTTTGTGTTGTATTAGCTGCTTCTTCAGCAGCTGCTGCTTCACATAAGACTAAGCATTTTCTTGTAGCTCAGTTTAGGTGCTAAGCAAAATGCTACCTAAGTCAATACAAATCCTTCCATTGACCTCAGCAGTCCTTGATTGCAGGTGTGCAAGCTGTTATTTGGGAGGAACCACAGCAACCACTTGAGCAACAATATGTCTCAAGAATATCTGTTATCATTCTTGGGTCTTTCAAAGTGGTAATTAAAAATGTAATGTCTAAGCCAGCAGGTCAGGAAAAGTGTCCTGCTCAAAAGGGATCTTTTCATCCTTTCATTGTCAAGTTACCAATGAAATTACACATTTGGAGGGGTATGTATAGAGGGATATACATATCTGTATTCACATGTGTATGTACACACATCCTGGACTAATTTTTTATTCTGCTACTGTCTGACACAGTAGAATATAAATAGATAAACAAACCAGAATATTTGCCAGTTTCTGAATGGTCAGCAGAACTCTGTTGGCTTAACCCCAGCACAAAAAGAGTGGAGAAATGGGATTAATGTCAGCAAACACCATTGTGGGCATTCTGGTTTAAAAAAAGGCTAGTGTTGTTCTATTTGTAGATGTCAATAGGAAATCAATAAATCTGTAGTTTGGCTCAATGTTTCCCTCATTCACCAAATTGAAGTGTGCATTCCTTGTGAAAGTAAGACTGTTCAGTAAGCATTTGTTGCTTCTTTTTATATTAAAGAGGGTGTAATTAAAAACTAGGTGAGAATCATAGAATCATTAAGGTAGGAAAGGACCTGCAACATCATCAAGTCCAGCCTGTGACTGATCACCACTTTGTCAACTAGACCAGAGCACTAAGTGCCTTGTCCAGTCATTTCTTGAACACCTTCAGGGATGGTGATGCCACCACCTCCCTGGGCAGCCCCTTTCAATTCCTGACAACTCTGAGTGAAGAAATTCCTCCTGATGTCCATTCAATGCCACTCTTTGAGTGAAGAAATTCCTCCTGATGTCCAACCTGAACCTCCCCTGGCACAGCTTGAGGCTGTTTCCTCTTGTCCTGTCACTTGTTCCCTGGGAGCAGAGTCTGACCCCACCTGGCTACAACCTCCTGTCAGGGAGCTGTAGAGAGCAAGAAGGTCTCCCCTGAACATCTTTTTCTTCAGGCTGAGCCCCCTCAGCACTCTTTGAGTGAAGAAATTCCTCCTGATGTCCAACCTGAACCTCCCCTGGCACAGCTTGAGGCTGTTTCCTCTTGTCCTGTCACTTGTTCCCTGGGAGCAGAGTCTGACCCCACCTGGCTACAACCTCCTGTCAGGGAGCTGTAGAGAGCAAGAAGGTCTCCCCTGAACATCTTTTTCTTCAGGCTGAGCCCCCTCAGCTGCCTTAGCCTCTCCTCATATGACTGAGTCTCCAGTCCTTGCCCCAGCTCCATTCCCTCCTCTGGGCACACGCAGCTCCTAAATGTCATTGATGTTGTGAGGGGCCCAGAACTGGACACAGCACTCGAGGTGCCTCACCAGTGCCCAGTGCAGGAGGACAATCACTGCCCTAGTCCTGCTGGCCACACTATTCTTGTACAAGTCAGGATGCCATTGGCCTTCTTGCCCACCAGTGCGCACTTCTGGACTCACTCGTTACATCCTATTTGTCAATTAACAGCTTTTTGCATGCAACCCAGGAGAATATTACTCATTTGGAGTGTACAAAATATTTTTAAAAATGACTCTTCCTTCCAAGTTCATTTGAATACGAACCTGCTATGACTGTCTCCCTATCTATTCACTACCTTAATTCTGAGGGCTGGATTCTCAGCAGCATCCTGTGTGTGGCAGCATGCAGGTCTGGGCTGGCAGCTGCCTGAACACACCCTGTGTATGGTCTGGGCTGGCAGCTGCCTGAACACAGGGTGAATGAGGTCACAGCATGCAACTGAGAGTAGATTATTGCCTGATGTAGGACAAGGGTTTTGAAAACTCTGATATTATAGCAATTTCCTGCACTTTTTTGTTTCATGAGCACATATAGTGAGTGCCACCTTGTTAAAGTGTGTCTGTTTCTCTTTTTGTAGCTTCATTCAGATATTGATTCTGGAGATGGAAACATTAAATACATTCTCTCAGGTGAAGGAGCAGGAATCATTTTTGTTATTGATGACAAATCAGGGAACATCCATGCAACAAAGACACTGGACCGGGAGGAGAGAGCTCAGTACACTCTCACAGCACAGGCTGTGGACAGGAACACTAACAGGCCTTTGGAACCACCTTCTGAATTCATTGTTAAAGTTCAAGATATAAATGACAACCCACCCGAGTTTCTGCATGAAAACTACCATGCCAATGTGCCAGAGAGATCAAATGTAGGTAAGTACTCTGAAATGCCCTGCAGTTCCTGGCCTTATGGAGGATGCTGCACTGTCAGTATGTCTTGGGTTGATTTCATTCTTATTGTCAAGAATTTTGACAAGTAAAAGTTACTCCATGCTCAGCCAGTGACTCAGCTGATGTACCTGATTTGCTGACCAAATCAAACCCCACACAGCACCTAACTGTCATCCTTGAAGTGTCTCTGGATGGGTCCTAGAATAGGACTGTTTCCTCCTAGGAAAGAACGAGAGTCCCCTGGAATTTATGGGTGTGAATCCTCTAGGGTGAACATCAAGATCATTCCTTTGGCAGAGCTATGTAATAAAGCTAAGGAGTTACTGCTACACTCTCTATTCCATTTTCATCTCCTGTTTGAGCTTGTGTCCGTCTCAGAGATTTCTGCAGGAACGATTTCTTTGAAACTTCCTGAGAAAAATGTAAAAAGCAAACTCTATTGTTTGGCTGTCTAACCACAAAAGCAATATAAGGCTTAAACTACTGAGGGAAAAAACCATAATGGTACAGAGTGACTGCTGACTTTTATATCTTTGTTGTTTAGAACATTAATCCACATCACAGCTGGTGACAAATCTTTTTTGGATCATATGAGTCTGTTTTGTTGTATAGAAATTGTCGAGTAATTTTTTTTTCATTTCCCAAATGTGGAAATAAAAAAGTTCAGCAATAGTTCTGCCATGTGACTGAAAACAGCTCTGCATGGTTCTTGCAGACGTGTTTGCTTCTGATTGTATTCCTCCTCTGCTTGCTTTCTATTTTTAGGTACATCAGTTATTCAGGTAACAGCTTCAGATGCTGATGACCCTACCTATGGGAACAGTGCCAAACTGGTTTACAGTATTCTTGAAGGTCAGCCCTACTTCTCGGTGGAAGCTCAAACAGGTATCATTAAGCACTTTATTTGATTAGTACCTCATAACCAGAATGCATTAAAATGAACTAAATGTGTTGAGTGAGGCAGTGCAGTTGGGTTTATCTATTGCTGTGTTTGAACAAAGCTTCCTGCGTTCTCTCTTGATTCCAGCAAAGCTCTGGTGCAGGTTAGTCCTCTGGCATTTAGTAGAGCTTCTGGGCATATGCTACACTAGAAAGATGATACTATTTCTTTGTGGTGTGATATGGTATGACAAGAATGGTTGTTTCTGTGCTGGACTGCAATTGTCCAGGGTTGTTCTATGTTGAATACTTAGACTGCTTTCCTTACATGGCATAATGCAC